TGATGCTTAGAGAATAAATGGTCAACAGACAATGGAAGACACCTTTAGTGCCATTTATTCACAGCCAAATACTGCATTTCTATCCTGATGGATAAAAGCTTCTCTAAAAAATAATGTAAGATTCCATATGGTTGCTATTGTATGAAATTGAAAGAAAGAGCACAGTAGTGACTTAAACCACCTTCCTTGGTCAACACAATCATCGGGTTTTAATCCGATTGAACATCTTCTAACACTTGTATAATCTATGTCAAGCTGAATCCAAACTATTATCGTGGCGAAAAGTGATCCGAATGTTAGATTAACTGTTTATACTCATGTAATACTTACACGCTAACAAGCAGAAAAAAAGAATCACCGCCATTGTTACAAGAATGCACAAAATGATCACAATCAGGTGGTGAGTTGGAAGTTGGAAGCTTTCGTTTTTCATTGGCGCTGCAAAAGAAAATAGAAGATCCAAGTTTATAGATGTATATATATATATATTTATTTAATTAATGTATTTTTGTGAAAAAAATGCTTCAAGGGAGGCAAATTTATGAAAACTATATCTCGTACTTCATTACCCTAGTAGCAATGAGTGGTTAAGGTAGTAATATGCTAAATCATAAAATACTGACATTTTGGACCAGTCTCATTTTACTAGGCTATAACGATGTTTTAAATATATATATTACAACAATACTAATACTAAAAAGAGTATATATATATATGTATATATTTGTTTTTGAGAAATTTTGTAAACAATTACCTTGACAACAAAGACCATCAGGTCCAAGAGTACAACTATAAAAAATACAAGATTGGCTTTGACAGCAAAGATTCAAGACTCTAATTTTGAGGACATAAGGCTTACCTTGACAACAAATACCATCAGATCCAATAATATAGCTTTCAAGACACAAGACTTACTTTGACATCCAAGCCAGCAAGACCTGGAGTATATTTATGAGGATACAAGACTTACCTTCACAACAAAGGCCATAAGTTTAAGAGTATAACTTTGATGCCACAAACTTACCTTGACAAGAAAGGCCATCAGGACCGAGAGAGTAACCTTGAGGACAAATACAATTAAAAGCTTTATTTTCTAAGTCCATTATCACACAGAGATATTCGCATCCACAGCCTTTCCGGGCTGGCATCACATCCACCTGCCCATCTCCAGAATTGGCTCCTGTTTTTTCTAGTGTCATAGTGGACATTGGGCTAAAGTAGGATGTTCCTCCTTGACCGTTGTTATAAGCATTGTCTTCTTCAGCAGCATCACCACCTAATGGAAGATAATGAAACTGTGACTGAAGAAAATAATAAGAAAGGATAGTGTCTTGCAATGAACGAGACTGGCATGACTGTCTTCTAAACAACGAACAATTCGTATTTAGAAACAATTAAATGCAAAAATAGATTGCCTTACCAGTGATATTTACCACCTAAGCAAACTAATCAAAATATATTTGAATCAGAAGCCTAAAACAGGTTTTTAATTTTAGGCAAATGAGACCAGATAACCGCATAAAACAGGAAGTACCATTTTTATATATACAAACGATATACCTCTGTAACCACCTCCTCCTCCTCCTGCTGTACAAGCACCTCCTCCACCTCCGAATCCACCATTTGTTTTCCATTCAGAGGCATCTCTACAAACGTAGCCTCCACGTGCCCCGTTAAGAAACGATCGACCTGATGTTGAATCCTGGTCAGTATGGTCAGTGTTGTTCCAGCCACCTCCACCACCTACGAGTGACGTTGTCCGTAAGATAAAAGTTTTCTTACGAGTAAATATACAAGTTTTAAATCGTTTTCACTGTATTACAGAGATAATAAGTCAGTGTGGAATTGAACATGAATACGTTCTTTGAAACCTTACTCATAACTTGAAATACAAAGCAAATTATATATTTACAAATTTCATTTCTATTCTATGAGAAGATTTTGTAGGTTCCTAATTTTCTATAACACATACATAAGGACATGAAAGCTTTCTATCTTCCCTTTAAAAAAGACTATTAAATCTTCCAGTAATCATAAACAGATGGAGAGCCATGACTTTGTACGTTTCAGAAATTGGTCTTCCTGACGGGATACAAAACAGGGAGCTTAGGAATTAATTTGTATACATCACCACTTAAATACGCCCATTTTATATTAATTTACAGAAATATTTAGACGTCAATCATAAATAAACAAATGTCCAGTAGTTGGACTAAATAATTAATTTTAGTTTGATTGAAAATGTGGTAAAAATATTAACATGCTAATATAGCTATAGAAACAAGCCTTTCGAAATAATGCATTTTAATCTTTGAAAGGCTTCTGCTCAAACATTAAGATAATTTAGCATAAGAGCCCATAATGACTATGTTACGTGAACCTGTGGTGAAACACATTCACCTGCACCATCTTGTGAGGAGATTCCATTTCCAGGGGGAAGACCAGGAATAATACCACGTCCATTAGGATCGATTGCTGTGGCAGGATCGTCAGCTTTGTTGTATGATAATCCACCACCTCCAGCAGCCACAACCAACAACACAGGTTGGTGCGTTTGATGATGGAGCTGTTATTGAGCAAAAACAAAACGATTTGTCTTGATTTCCATGCAGTAGTTTTGTTTTATCTGTTTTGCCAAAAAAGTCTTAACTAAAGAAACATCAATAAGACATCTACATTAGCGGAATATAGCATCTAATAATCATTCCAAATCTAATATTTTCCTGTTTTAAGCGACTTTGTGCCGCATTTAATTTAACGCTAAGGTTTATAGAAATCGGTGATGTGTGTGTAGAAGTTTGGACCTCACTCTTTGAAAGCCACTATTTGAAATAACACAACATATGATTAAGTCACTAATATATATGAAGCAACTTTATAAGGTACTACTAACAGAAAATTATTTAAATTTTCAGTAGAATGAGATAGATTTTAACTCTAATACACTCCATGTATGATAGGTTAAAGCAGTACTTTATTAAATTATGATAGGTGTCTCTCTATGTATATAATATTGAAGTCAGGAATTAGAAGATTTTTTAGTTTTGGTTAAGATCATCATATTAAGATATTTTAAACTTTACTTTTATTAAAGACAGTTTTACATGCATACCAAGCGCCCTCACTTGGCTGAAAACGTCACCTCCTATATTAATTCACGTTGTGTGTTTGTTTGTCCGCGAACTCCTATCAAATTTTAGGAGCTAGCAGGACCAAAGTTGACAGGTAATTTAGAACATCCCGGATGTGATTATATTACATATACATATGACGTAGCCTTCCTAACAAGGGAGGCTAAAATGCGCCCGGAAGATCATCCACACATGATGTGGGTCTGGCAGCGAATTATACACTTGTATCTCACACACTTGGGATCCCAGAGGCACTATGTTTGAAACTGTGTTTCAATTCAAAAACTAGCAGGATCAAACGTGTCACACGTGCTCAGGCACTAAGGATGAGTATCCTAACGGGATTTGTTTTGGGGTACTAGACCCCTTAGGGTAGCTATAGAAGTAATAGGGGATAATAAAAGAGCCAGGTCCGTAATAGTTTAATAATAAATATGACGGTTGATAAGACTAGCAAACTCGTTAGAATTAATAATTTTCTAACTAGGTTCACTTAACACTCAGTTATTTGTTAATAATAATAATTATATTTATTGCATGATATATCATTCAACTTGTAATTTTGCCACTTCTGTAATATATTTTATAATCTGTGCTTTTTTTTCACTTAATCTTTACTGAATATTTTACGTAAATCACTTATTGAAGTTATTATGACATAACTTAATTAGTATAATTATATTGTTATTTCCAGATTTCGCTGAATATGGAATATGCGTATTCCAAAACAATGGCAGCTCAAAATGCCACCTAAAAACTATAGTCTGTGAATATTTAGGAGTATCCAACAGGACCGATCGCCAATTACACAAATCCAGCCACTCAGCTGTTCGAGGATTTTGTAACTAGAAATGTTATTTGCTTTATCAGCCATCCTCATCTTTATTATTAGCTTACTCTGTACACTTGAGCGCAGGTATTTCATGTTAATTGTTATTTATCTAAAATGTTGCAGAGGGAGGAAGACGTCAAATAAGTACCTGACCCTTTCCCTGGTCCATTCAAGGCGCCCAAAATTCCTATAAAGATCCAAGATTGTTACACGAAGTACGTTTGAAAATTAGCCATAACTACATTAGAGTCCACTAAAAACTTGTAATTTCTCCTTATATTCACAATTTGTTTCATCATAGTCGACTGTGGGAAATTTATAATACGTGTTTAGGTTTACAGTAACGTTTTAAAGAAAGGATTAATAAAACATAACTGCCATTTTGTTTAAGTTATCAAATTCAAAACAGAAACATCGAATGGAAAAGATAATGCAATTAACTCAGCACACTCTCTATAAAACAATATAGCGTTAGTTTTATAGATAGTGTTCTAGAAAATGACAGAAACATTGTTTTATAGATAATGTTATATAAAATAACAGCTATATTGTTGTATAGAGAGTTTCCAGAAAATAAAAGGTACATTTTTATAGAAGTATCCTAGTAAATAACAGGTGCATTGTTTTATAAAAAGTGTGCTAGAAAATATCCACTACATTGTTTTATAGATAGTGTCCTAGAAAATATTCGCTTCATTGTTTTATAGATAGTGTCCTAGAAAATAACAGCTACATTGTTTTATAGATAGTGTGCTATAAAATAACAGCTACATTTTTATAGTGTGCTGTAAAATTACAGCTAAGTTACTTTATAGTGAGCTGTAAAATAACACTACATTGTTTTACAGAAAGTGTGTTATTAAATAACAGGTACCTTATTTTATAGTGAGCTGTAAAATAACACTACATTGTTTTACAGAAAGTGTGTTATTAAATAACAGGTACCTTATTTTATTGTGTGTTGTAAAAGCTACATTATTTTATAGAGAGTGTTATAAAAAATAACAGCTACATTGTTTTGTAGAGAGTGTCCTTGAAAATATCCGCTACCTGTTTTATAGATAGTGTGATATAAAATAACAGCTATACTTGTTATTTTCTGGAACGCTCTCTATAAAACAACATTGCTATCATTTTCTAGAATACTATCTGTAAAATAGTATAGCTGTTATTTTATAGCCCAATATCTATAAAACAATATGGCTGTTACTTTATAGCACACTATTTATAAAACAATGTAACTGTTATTTTCTATAACATTATCTATAAAACAATGTAGCTGTTATTTTCTATAATATTATTTATAAAACAATGTAGCTGTTGTTTTGTAGCACATTATATATTAAACAATGTAGCTGTTATTTTGTAGAACACTATCTATAAAACAATATAGTTGATATTTTACACAACACTAACTATAAAACAATGTGCTCTTATTTTGTAGCACACTGTTTATAAAACAATGTAGCGGATATTTTATAGTACATTATCTATAAAACAATATAGCTGTTATTTTATAATAAACTATCTATAAACAATGTATCTGTTATTTTACACCACACTATCTATAAAACAATGTTGCTGTTATTTTATAGCACACTATCTATAAGACAATGTAGCTGTTATTTTATAGCACACTATCTGTAAAACAATGTAGGTGATATTTTATAGCACACTTTCTGTAAAACAATGTAGCTGTTATTTTATAATACACTATCTATAAAATAATGTAGCTGTTATTTTACAAAATACTATCTATAAAACAATGTAGCTGTTATTTTATAGCACACTATCTGTAAAACAATGTAGGTGATATTTTATAGCACACTATCTATAAAACAATGTAGCTGTTATTTTATAATACACTACCTATAAAACAATGTAGCTGTTATTTTTCAGAACACTATCTATAAAACAATATAGCTGTTATTTTATAGCAACTTTTCTATAAAACAATGTAGCAGTTATTTTATAGCACACTATCTATAAAACAATGTAGTTGTTATTTTATACCACACTATCTATAAAACAATGTAGCAGATATTTTATAGCACACTATCTATAAAACAATGTAGCTATTATTTTATAGCACACTATTTATAAAACAATGTAACTGTTATTTTCTATAACATTATCTATAAAACAATGTAGCTGTTATTTTCTATAATATTATTTATAAAACAATGTAGCTGTTATTTTCTATAACATTATCTATAAAACAATGTAGCTGTTATTTTATAGCACACTATCTATTAAACAATGTAGCTGTTATTTTGTAGCACATTATCTATTAAACAATGTAGCTGTTATTTTGTAGAACACTATCTATAAAACGATGTAGCTGTTATCTTATAGCACAATATATATAAAACAATGTAGCTGTTATTTTATAGCACACTATCTATTAAACAAT